AGCTATTTTAGCAAATTATTTGCTTTTTAAAAAATGAAGAGGGAGTCATTAAGTGTCTTGGGTTTGGAGTTGATTTGCTAACACTAATAAAAACACAGAATATCACCAGCCTTATCCTATCATGAGCATGTTTGAGTCAAGCAGTGTACAACTAAATATGCATCTAAATCGAGATACTGACAATGCAACGTCAAAAGCTGGTCATTATACCTGTAGCAAGCTTAGGCAGGTACTTCTCCTTCTGAGCTGGATTTCCAAAAAGCAGGATCCCCTTGAAGCCAATTGACTGATGCGCTCCCAGAGTGATGCCAACGCCCAGATCATGGCTGCCAACGATCTCGACCAACCGGGCATACTGCAAGATGGACGGATATTGTCACATTAAACTCACAGCACCCACATGTTTACAGAGCTGTCTGACCCAAGCAGCAGCTAGATAATATTTACTATTGTGTGTGTATTAGAGAGTAAATCTAATCAAGCAGACGGACCTGTGTGTTTGAGAGGCCGAGGCCGCCAAGGTCAGCTGGCACCTGTAGGCCAAAGGCACCCATCTCCTTCAGGCCCTCCATGGTGTGATCCTCCACCTTCTCCAAGGCATCGTTCTTGGCGGGATCATTCACCTCCTGTTCGCAGGAAGCAGAAACACGGAAGGTGAGGGGTGACTAACAGAGTTGTAAAGAGGCTATCACCATGAAATCAGACAAATTTATCCATGAGCTCCAAGAGGTTTCAAATTACCTCAAAAAATTTGCCGACAGGCCCCACAAGCTCTCGGAGGAACTGCTCCTGCTCCTCATTGAGGGCTACAGGACAGAGAAGAGTGATTACACTGCTACCTTTCTTTCCAAGTTCCACAAAGATATTTAAAGAAATGTTGGCATCTTTTAAAACAGATATTAACAGGAATGTCCTCTGATTTACCTGAGGGGAAGGGAAACACTTGGGGAGTCGCAATCTGCCCCTTGAAAATGTTGACAGCAAATGATTTGGATTCCTGTGGGAAATTAAGTCAAACATAGTCAAGCTTGTGCAAACACAAACAGAATATCCAACAGAGTTGAAGGTGTCCTTAGCTGTCAACTGGCTGTGTATCTGTTGTGTATCCCTGAGGTTCAACAAGTCTGTTAAATGCATTTTCTTCCTCATAAAAGATTTGAAAAGCTGATTTTCAAAAACATTTTGCTACCTGCATATTTTATTATTATTTATGTTTACTAGCTAACTAACTTCTTTTCTGCTGCCTTTGTTGGCACATCACCATCACCACCAAATAGCGTGAAGCTATTGGTGGGACTGTATAACCACAAGTATATGGACATGCCTCCAAACAAAATTCATTAAAAACCTCTCCATAGTGCTACAGGAGGTCAGAAGTTCGATGGGGGACCTTTAATTCTGCAGACATTTCATACAGTGATGTGCAGCAATGGTGGTAAATCTTAACCGCTCTGAAAAATACTGTTTAGAAGCCATTTACAAAACAGAATGATGATATAAATATAATAATGGATTTACATACATCAGCAACTGTCTTCTTTTCCACTTTAGTGGCAGCTTCACTGCCGACTGCTGCTGGCTTCTCCAGCACCGCCTGAAGAGGAACAGACACAAGACACAGAGAATAACTTAAAAACAGTTCATCAGTTCACAAAAAAAAAAAAAAAAAAAAAAAAGGACAAAGGAATTTTATTATAAACTGTAAGAAAATGAAGCTCCAAACACATTTGGTGCAAAAATCAATAATAATAGATAAAGTAAAAGTACATCTTGCAATAATTCAGTCATAGTTAGAGCAAAGCAGTTTGACTTAAATTTATTAAAATTTATTTAAAATGTAAAATTTATAAATGCCTCTATATGTACTGGCAAAACCAATTCACTGCTTTTTCATGTTTGTAGTTAGTGAGAGAGAAGGGGACTGTTCACTATGTTTAAGGTGATTATAGGATAGAATGATTATGAAAACTGAATGAATGAAAACTGAATATATACTATGTTGAACACACATCATTACCAAGCTGCTGAGCTGCAGGTAAAATCATTATTTTAAGATCTTGACACTTTCAGACAAAATAAACAAAAATACAGGTTAATGAAAGCAGCTGTGCTGTGAAATCGGCTTTGTTGACATTTAAATTTCACGATCAGAGAAATTTAGAAGCAATATTATTTTATTACACCTTAATTACAGCCACAAGTCATCCATTACCAGATGTAAATGAACTGCAAATATGTCACATTTTTCCTGCTTGTAAAACAAGAAAAATGTTGGCTTAACCATACTGAATTATAAATGTGGCTTCTGAAGAATATACACTCCACTTCTGAAATACAAGAATCTGCTGCAACTTATAAGAAAAGACACAATCTTTTCTGATTTCATTTCAGACACCCTTACCAGCACTTTCTTGTGTCTTATTTCTTTAAATGAAAAAGTCATGTCTCAGCACTTGTGCTGTGGCACTGAACAGGCTTTTAATCGTTTTGTTCAAAAAGCAAAAAATATAAACTCCCACTTTTGGATGACATCCAGCTCATGCTCCCATGTGATATGACTGCAGGTATTGTAAGTTGGCTCAAACGAATTTAAAACAAGTAATAAAAAGTAAGTATAAGCTAATAAATAATAAATTAATAAATAAGTAATACATAATAGAGGAAATACATTTTGTTCAATCGATTATTGTCAGGTCGATATGCAGCACTGTTTAACATCTTCCGACAACTGTCTGTCCTGAACCCTGTCCTGGACAACTGCAGTGTCACCCACATTCATGGTGTCACCTTTATCAAGGAGTCACGTGATCAGTGAACTTTCACCCACTTCCAGCGGGAGGGGATGCCAACGTTATGTCATCCAGCCACTGAACAACAATCCGAGCATATTCTGAAACACTGAATGCTACAAAACATATCTGACAAAATCCAGATCAGTCGGAATATGAATCATATTGAAGGCTAATGTTATTGTACCTGTGCAGCTTGGCTTGCGTAAAGACGGGAGGTTTGCACACCAACCACAGCCCTGGTCTGCCGCTGACCTCTGTAGCCCAGACAAGGATACATAGGTCATTTTGAACATTGTTAGCAATTTCGTTATTATTAAAGCATTTCATTTTCGTCGACAGCCAATAGGTTCAGTAATAGCTCTAAAAATGACTTACCCGGACACAACGGGAGGAATCCTGAGAATGGTGCCACACAACGCGGAAGACTGAGTCACTTTGCGAAGCAGCATGATTATATTTTGTTCTAAAGTGGAAAAGAAACAGAATTCACCGTGATTAGCTAAATAACACAGACAAGTTATGAAACGAGGGCGGCTAGCTAACGGTGAAAATAGCGGGCAGCAGGCAGCTATGCTACGTAACGTTTTGTAACTTGACCACTTTTGATTCGGTGTTTTACTTCTTCGTAGAAAAATAAAACAGCAGTGGCGCGTTAAAACATTTATATTCCTTCTACCGAAAACCAAAGACACCAGTTATTAATCACAGACCTGTACAAGTTATGTTATATCACGTCCCCAACGACCGGGCAGAAGCCGACTGACTGGTCCCCTACTGACCTGATTTTTCCTCTTCTGTTGTCTTTCTAACCGCGGTGCTTCATGGGATACGCAGTTTTACAGTATCGGGGTGGCCCGAGAGACTTCTCCAAACAGCAGAACTGAATTGAATACAAGAAATGCAACTGAAAAAATGTAATTTGATTAAAAAGAAACACATTTTAAAAACAACAGAAGAATAAAATTAGAGCAAACGTATTCAAAAAATAAAAATACTAAAAATACTAAATAAATAAGTGGAAGTTGTGCTATATAATATACTGTAGACTTCCATCTGTTCGCAAATTCTGAGATTTATAGTAAAGTCACAAATTATTTTTTGAATAGACAAACCTCTACATAGCTACATTTATGTATATAGAATTCTGCTATTATCACATTTTTATTACATAAAGAGACAACTCAAAACTATTGCCCTGCATGAAGAACCCTAACTTTTTGAAATTACCATAATGAAATTCTGAAATAACATTTTTGGTGGTCAACCAGCTATGTAATCTTTCCCAGGCTTTGGTGATGTAGAAGAACAGAAATCTTGAGGCTGCAGTGGACACAGGCTCACCAAAACCAGACATCTGAAGACTGGAAAAGCCAGTCAAGCTTCACCAGTATGAATCCATGGACCAGCCCCGCCCTGTATCAACATTCCAGGCCGCTGGCAGTGTGATGGTGTGGGGAATATTTTCTTGGCACACTTTGAGCTCTTAATACCAATCAATCATGGTCTGAATGCCACAGTTTATCCGAGTATTGTTGCTCACCATGTGCATCTCTTTACGCTCAAAGTTATCCATCTTCTAAAGGCTACTTTCAACATTATAACGCACCATGTCACAAAACAAAAGTCGTCTCAAACTGGTTTCAAGAATGTGACAGAGTTCAGTGTCCTTTCCAGTTACCAACAGGCTCTCCTGTTCTACACCTTTGGGATGTAGAACAGGAGCAGTAATGTGTATGTTCTTCAGTTTCAGTATGTTTCTTCCAAAATGTACATTACATTGTAATTTAACCCTGGTGATTACAATACTGTTAAGGGTTTTAAAATCAACCAATTTAATTCTTAAGGAAAATTAGTTACTTTGTTCTTATATTGACAGTGTTGGTTTTTTCTTTTCACCAGAGGATGACAAAATTCCTTTTGTTTAACAGTTTGTTACTACATGTGACCCCGAGGAAAATGATGTCAAATAATAACATACCAGTTCTAGGTATCCAGGGCAGCCAGATGATATGCTGGACAAATTAATCTTGTGTGTGGGGTGGTGGATGGGGGACGAGGGGAGTTGGGTTTTGTCATGACTGGTAACACATCAGTCTTTCAATTTATCTGGTTGTATGAGAAAGTTCATATTCACAAAATGACTTACTTTAAATTCCAGACTAAAATAATTAAGTCTGCACAGTATGTAAGTATCAAATTTATTCTCAAGTACACAAACAAAGGTGGCAATATGAAATCAAACAATGTGACACTGTCAATGTCATTCTTTTTGAAATGTTGACTCTTCATTTAGCACCTTAACAGTTGGGTTACACATGATTTATATAGTCACTCATACAAAAATGAAATAGGTGAATAATGCGAGTCAGTAACATAAAAATAAGCATGGGGAGCTGTTTGGATCACAGTTACTTAAGATATACACTGCATGTAATCAAAAAGTACCGCTTTCAGTATCTTATTTCCACCGACTAGTACCGTTCAGCCTCTACAGTCCCATACCAACAACCATGGTACTCCTCACAATAAGAGTTTGTGTGACGACTAGGCCTAGACAGTGATTACTAAACACAAGTTCACCTGACATATTTGGACCTATTTTCTTTTCACATTAGAGCTTGCTGTTCTGTATTATTGCATTTACATAGGAATAGTAGATATATACAGAAAAGTTCATTGTCAAACAATGCTGGAACAAGATGAGTTATTTTACGTACTTGGAGTGTGAAAATGTCTCTAAAAATGCAACGAGTAAGGCACTTGATATACTCCTGTGCCACCAATGAATCTGGCATGATGATCCAGATATATGTACAGGATTGTATCCTTTTCAAGTACACAGTGTACCTGGCACCCTCTAGTGTTAAACTGTGGTCTGTGCGCTTCCTGGATGGGCAGCTCTGAGATAAATGGCTGATTAGGGAAGGTGCTTCCCTTCATAAAATATCATCTTTCTGTTTTGAAAATGGCTAAAACCAGAGTGCTGAGTAGCTCTGATAGGCACTCAGAAATTTTACTGAGAGTTTGCTTTTTGAGAAAAACAAACATGTCCACTGCAGAGATAAGAATTTAGGCTTGAAAATGAGTGTTATTTAATAATTTTGAATGAAAGAATCTAGACTTTGTGGACACATCTAGTCAGACCATATCCCACATTAATTGTTTTACTTTTGTCATATTTTCTTTGTCAATGTTAAACCCTGTTCTCACCAAATTTGTAACAAGTGCCCTCAATCCAATAGGCACTTGTGAGCTCAACAAGCTACCACCAGATTCTCGTCAAAACAAGTGGGAACCGTACACTAACTTCACATGAATGGTCACTCAACACCAAGGCCGGGAAACTACATGACATCCACAAAGAACTCGCTGGGGTTGCCCATGGCCAGATGGAACGACTGGCGTGATGCAGTCAGCTCTGGGGGTACCGAGCCCAGGTCACGGGTGGGCGGGGCGCCAGGAGGTCCCCCTGGAGTGGAGGAGGGGGGTGGAGGTAAAGCCGGGTGCATGGGGGCTGTGGCCAGCTGCTGTGTGTGAGGAAGAGCGTGAGCAGCTGCCATGGCCGGGTGTGGGTGCTGGGGCACCATCATCACCATCATGGGGTTGTAGGGCAGGATACCTGGCGGGTAGGGAGACATGTGGGGTGGTTGGGGTATGCGGTGATGATGTGAGCGCTGGGAGGAGGCGTGGCTGTGCTCACTGGGGGCAGCAGAACCGTGGCCGCGCCGCAGGCTGCTGCGGGTGGAGTATTCTGATTCACTGCCGCTGCCGGAGCGCGAGTCAGCCCCGCCACCTTCTCCACCCCCGCCAGAGGGGGATTTCTCCCCTCCACCCACGGTGCTCCCGGGACCTTTACTGCTGCGACGTCGCTCACCCTCGCTTCTCGTCGATCCACTGCTTCGGCTCCCTGTGGTCAGAAAGAAAGTGCTTTTTAGACTGTCTCTACTTTCCAGACAGCTGCAACTGTAGAAGTGTAAAGACTCTACTTTTAGATGGATGCTCAACAGCAAAAAGTCAAATACTATACATTAGATCCATGGTTGTTTATTGTTTTTCTTCTGCATTTGATGTTCCAACAACAGGGTTTGTGAATGCAACACTCTTCGCAGCTGACTCTCAAATCTCAGATGTCTGAGCTTCTTTAAAAGACTACACTAGCAAATTAATATCGCATGTCCATAAAGTTGGAGGACAGATTTTTCAAAATCAAAGCAACAGAAGCCGGGATATCCTGACTGTTAGTTCCTAGTTTGTATCCAAAACCACTTGATAATATAATTTCCATAAAGCAGCACAACAGTCTTTTATTAATAAATCTGATGCCATCATCCAGAGCCACAGATGACATTATACAACTGTTAACAACTGTACACTGAACTTCATGAGATGACCCTTTAAAAACAGCTACTACAGTAACTATAAGTAAGTAATTAAAGAAATCGATCCATAAACGTATGGTATGCTCACTGACTGTGCTCACCTTCACTGTGCTGGCTGCCGGTGCTGCCGGGGGCGTAGCTGTAGCTGGTGAGCTCGTGGTACGGAGGTGGCTGGCTGGAGTAGGGATGTGTAGGGTAGGGCTGATAAGGGAAGGTGTGCATCATGGGCCATGGCGAGGCCCCGGGGAGTGGCAGAGGAGCCAAGGTGTCCTGGTCTGAGGCCCCGCTGGAGCCGTCATTGTCATTCAAGGACAGATTGGCCATGTCTGGGTGGGAGATAAAAAGGAGGTGAACAATTGAAAAATCTGAACATGTTACACAAAATGCTCCTTTAAAGATTGACTTATTACATATCTTTATCATATTAATTTTTGTATCATATTACCTTTTAACGTGACTATTAAATACATGAGCACATGTCATGGCTGCATCTTGTGAACACTTTGTTTTTGCCTGCCAGTTATCAAAAGTTCTTTTTATAGGTTCTAAGTTTAGCGGTGGCAGGACATTAAAGAAATCCTTCCATAACTGATACAGTCAGTGAGTCCACAAAAGGCCTGTGTGCAAAATATGATTATAACATTCAGCAGATTAAAGCAGATCCACAGTCAGTCATTCTTTAATGTCAGTGTTCTTCCAGTAACTCACAGTTCTCACAGTCGCTTAAGTCTCCGAATACGTAGTAGCACTGTTCGGAGAAGGTGATCTTGTTGACGGTGTGTCGAATGAAGCCGGCCTTCAGCAGGTTGCTGGCGTACTTTCTGGCTTCACGGCGGTCCTGGAATCCCTCGATGTGGTGGAACAGCCACTCCACTACGTCCGAGCCTGGTGTCGGAGGCAGAGACAAGGAAGATAAGCTAAAAGAGAACTTTATTTATGCCAAAGGAGATTTCAGCAAAACAGACGCCCAGTATACATAATAAAATAAAGTTAAAACATGCATCAGCATTACACATACATAGTATAATTAAATAAAAAGGGTGAAAATATACACACACACACACACACATAAAACACAGGGATGTACAAAACTAAATATTAATAAAAGTGCAGGATATAAGTTACTTTTTTATATATCATAAGCAAGGACAACCTGTACTTGCATATTACGGGCACAGAAATATAGAGTGTGAACGCAGTAGCAAACAGTAGCAACAGGAATGAACAGCAGTAGATTTGAGTTTGGAGGATACATTAGATCAGAATTAGGAGAAATAAATCCTCTACAGCACAATTACAACAGCAGAGAGCAACATCCAAGGGCATAAATGCATTAGTTGTTCCAAACACTGTTAATGGTTTGTGGTAAGCAGGACTTAATATGGAGTATTTCATCAATAAGGAGCAGTGCAAATCAGATTTGGGTTTAAAAATCTAGGATTACACGATGAAAGTTTCCTAAAGAAATAGTGTTATTTCTATGCAGCCAGTGGCAGGACACTGTCTGTAACCAACATCTTTAAAAGGAGAATTTAGCAGCATTACCATTTAAAAGACATAACAAACTAAAGCCTAAAACTGACCAAGATGAATTAGCACCTCTGACACGCTCAAACAAGAGCTTCACCAAAATGGAGTCTGCCAGCATGATCGCCTGCTGGATTTTTACTATATTAAGAATGAAAATTCAAGTCAGATAAAAAATAAGTGAAATCAGAAATTGCATACAGCCAAAAACGTACAAAAAAAGTACAAAATGAGAAAGCATGTAGTTTATGTAATTACTCCTTGTGATTCTGTTGCAGGTGATTCCAATTAAACAGATGTTTCCAGTCAAAACAGGCGCTCACATTAGTACTCTAACGTTTTTTTTTCCCCTCTCACAAGTCACACGGTTTTAATTCTGTGAACATAATGGCTGCCCTGTAAAATCCCGCGAGGCACAGAAGGTTCATGAAACCAATGTCCTCTTGTTGTTTGTCTTACCAAGGAAAGCGTTGGGGATGGTGATTTTAAGCCACATACGGTCCCTGACCTCCAGACCAGACTCCGGTGAAGCCATGGCCTTGGCAACTGATGCCATGTCAGAGTGTAGTGATAAGTTGAAGTCATCGAAACCTAGAGAGAGAAAGAAGAGAACTTTAGGAAATCTGAAGAGGAAGAAGTGTAGACATGCAAGGATAAATGAAAGAATGACTGAGATGAAATCAGAACTGGGTCAAAACAAGAAGGCAAGGAGAGGAACTTTGAAGAGGAGATCAAAGACAGGAAAGCCGTAGACATCATTTATCACATCATATAACAGCAGTGGACGCAAAGGGAGACAGACAGATGTGAAAGATGATTCCTGTGCCAGTGTCATTACAAGAGAAAGACAGACAGAAACTGTCACAGGAAAAATATACATTACAATAATGACCATCATTCATGTCTAGAATATGGACAGACTGACAAAGAAACTGGGCAAAGTTTAAGAGTGGGAATAGTTTTATGAGAAGATGGTGTGGATGTGGAAGAGCTGAGAATAAAGAGGAGAGGTCAGTTACAGCACACAGAAAGTGAGATGGATATGGAAACAGGCTCTCACGTTCGGTCTCAGTGACGGAGGAGGAGGAGGTGATGGTGCTGAGGGAGGAGCTGCCGGGGTAAGGAGGGTACGCCCCAGTCATAGCCACAGAGTGGCTGACCCATGCTGCTGGGTCGATGGGTCGGATCGGTTCATCTACACAGATAGAAAAGAGATTAGAAAACTCAACGACAGAAAAGCTGGTTTGTCAGTGGGTGTGAGGCAGTGTGGTCACTCACTGCGAGGCAGAGTGAAGTAGCCCTGAGGAGAAGGGTCCCAGCACTTGGCCACTGTGAGGATGATGGGCCTAGCAAACACCAAAAGAATAAGAAATCAGCATCATTCAAAATCCGATTGCAAAGACATTCAAACTGGGCCTGATAATATTCAAAATGAGAGCAGCAACTCACCCTGGCTTGTGTACAATCTCCCTCAGTACCCGCACTGCATCGTCGTTACTCATGTTCTCAAAGTTGATGTCGTTCACCTTGGTGAATATCAAAGCAGGAGAGAAAGATTTTAATTCAGACACAAAAGCACCAACTTCATGTTTTGTGTTTAAAAACAGAGACATGTCAACTAAATCAAAATCAAGATCCTGAAATGAGCCTCAGTGTCTCATAACCAAAGACGTTCTACCCTAACCCTTTGTTCAGGATTAAGCCATAATCCCTGCTCACCTGCAGCAGCATGTCACCAGGTTCAATGCGTCCGTCTGCAGCCACAGCTCCTCCCTTCATGATGGAGCCGATGTAGATGCCTCCATCACCCCTTTCATTGCTCTGACCCACAATGCTGATGCCCAAAAAGTTGTACTTCTCTGCATTATTGAGAAATCAGAATACAGTTAACATTGCTCACACATTCTTCTTCTTCAAAAAAAAAAAAAAAAAAAAAAAGTGTAGTGCAGTACTTGTTTTGCAAGTTTACACTGTGGTACTGATTTTAAAGTTTCCCTAGAACTTCCCAGAAACACTGAAGTTCAAAGACAGAGACTTTACAAACCCATGTTGAGAGTGACGGTGATGATGTTCAGGGACATTGTGGAGTCTGTCACACTGCTGAAGGACGAGGCCTGGAGTTGAAAACCACAAAATTCAAGTATGAGATTTGCTTACAAATTCATTGATATGCAGATGTGGCTCCCTGCCATAAAGTCCTGATTCAACATATAACAGCAGAGGGCAATCGTGCAAATGCATACGGAGTAAGCGAAAAAACCATGAGAAAATTAGTTGACAAAGGGGTCTCCGCATACCCTCTCCAGACGTGGAGGGCGCTGTTTCCTGCGTCGACGGTGCCGTTTCAGAAGCCTGGAGGCTGTGCTCTGCTCTGTTGCACTGCTGAACCTACAAGTGCAAGGGTCAACAGGAGGTGAAAGGTCAGACATAAACTTTTAATAGGCTTGTACTCGTCTTCCCTTTTGTGACACTTTGTGTCTGAAACCCACCAAGATATTAAGCAAGCTAATTAGGTATTCTTGAGCAAAAATATTATTTTCCATTGTCATTTATCTCATTTATGTTTAACATTACCGTCTCTCAATTGTTGCAATTTTTTCCATTTTGTGTTTTGATACCTTTCCCATTACACCTATTAAATTTAAAAAGGCACACATACACTTTCAGGAGAAGACTGATCCCGCTCTCTTCTTTCTCAGTTAACCCTCCTCTTTCATCAATCTCTCACCTGCTCATGGTGTCGTCGTCCTCAGAGTCACAGAAGCTGGTCGTTTCTAGCTCGCTGCTCATCACTGTACTGGAGCTCTCATATCCTGCCAGGTGGCGCTCCAGACGACTCTGGCCATTCATACGAGGCCCTGCGACACCGAAAAGGCAGATACTCGCCGTGAATTTTCATGTTTGCTCAAGTCAGTTTTTTTTCTATAGATCACAAACATTCCTCACTTCTCAACATTCCTTGATTATATCACGACCTAGTCACTGTTTGGATGCTGGAAGCATGCCAGGTCTTGATGGCACACCATCCAAAAGGAGCATGTTTCATCAGCACTGTGATCTTGTGTTTCTCACCGTGTTGCTCGATGCTCTCTCTGTGACGAGGTCTCTCTCTCCTGAAAGAAACTACAGACTCTGTTTCAGTCTGGTCGTCCAACGTCTCCACACTGCCTGTGGCATTGGGACTGTAACAGAAGAAGCAGGAGCACAGTTGGAATTAGTTATACTGTGGTTGTACTTAAATCTGCACTGAACAGATCAGATTACAGGGGATCTGTCAAGCGTTAGCATGGCTTCTTAAGATGACTAGGAAGATCGATTTCAACTAACCAATCAGAATACGTCTACAAATAAACCAATCAGAACAGAGCTGCAAACCAACAAACCAATTAGAATAGAAATAAACCGATAACCATACGGCTACAAAGCAACCAATAAATCAGAATTTGGCTACAAATGTGTGTCGAATTTGAAGGGATTCCATTGAGTTCCCAAGATATTGGGTTCACAATGCCCAAACCGTGTTTTGTGAGGTCACTGTGATATTGACGTTTGACCAACAAAGTCTAATCAGTTGATCCTTGAGTTCAAATTAATGTTTGCACCAAATTTGAGATAACGCGTTCAGATGGACAGACAACGTGAAAACATAATGCCTCCAGCTCTGGGTGTCTCCAGCACAGAGGCATAAAGACGTACACAGGTACACCAGACTTCAGTATCATGCTCGTACCAACAGATGTGCCGATTACACACATAGACAAAGAAAGTGCTGGTTCATGATGACAGCAGGCTGAAAAGAATGAAACTTTTCTTCATCAGACAGTCACAGTGAACCCACAACATGAAAAATTACATTTCATTTTCCAGTATGAGCAATGGTGTTGATCCAGCTCCAAACACAGCATGGAAAGAAAAAACTGACGCGGTTAATCCTCCACCGCCTGCAAACCGCACATTTAGTGAAGTTAAAAAGAAATTGTTTAATTTGAAATTGGATTCAAAAACCATCAGGCCACCGTCCTGAAGCCAAAGGAGACAGACAGGACGAGGTCCAAACATAAGAGATGAATGAGTGCACTGCAGCTGTAATGGGAGGTTACAATGCTGGGTCTGAACTCTATTTGACCCCTCAACCAAACTTAAAGTGCTCCAGACATCAGACTTCTTGAAGAGCTAAGATCTCATTAAAAAAAAAGTTATTAAAATTAAACTGTGTAATCTGAAAGGAGTTGCTCTAATTAACAAACCCACAGAATTATCATACGAGTCTGTAGTTCCCCTCAGCTCCACGGAGCGTTTCAGCATCCTTCAACCGATTGTCTTGGTTTTACAGCCCACAACTTCACTGCTCTCATCACTGTCATTTTGAATTTCAATGCAAAAGCTCTTATAAAGTGCCCAACACATTAACGGTGGACAGACAAACTTCGCTTCTGACCAGTAAACATTGTGGAGCATTTATCAGCTAAAGACAAGGATATGTCCTTCAGCAGATGATGGAAATCGAAACAGAGTGAATATCAGACCTACATTTATCACATGAACAGAAATACAGCACTAAATGAATGCTAATAGCTCTGTGCCTGCTGGATGTGTAAAGAGGCAACTGTTTGCCAACACATTCTCCATATGAACTTCATAAGGTGATAAATACATAAGTGTTGTGTATGCAGCTCGTTGCAATGACCTCCAAGTGGCCAAAAAAATCAATTATTACCGGTTTAATGACATTTTAAAACAAAACCAAAGCTGACTTAAACCTTGGTTAATGAAACATCAATATGCATGGGCTCTGATATTTTTTATACAGTACACCGTATACCAACAGTACACTGTTTAAACTATATTAAAAAAGTAAGAACCTTTTAAAATCAGATTGTTTGGGTTCAGTGTATTCAAAGAGCTGGTCGCGTTAATAACAAGAGCAGCCTCAGCTAAGGTCTGGTTCAAATGAGCTGTACTGTTCTTGCTATTCTTGTTGTAACCTGAGACTGGGAGTGTGTGAGATATTCAGGAAAAATACAGTATCATCATTACAGCTATGTGAGACACACTAATGTATATGTTTGGAGGCCCAGGTGAAATATGCTGGTTTTGAGAAGGTTTTTGGGCGTGTGATGCCCCTCTCCAGGTAAATATACAGTGTAGTGTTTCTAATGAATGTGTGTGCTTTGCTTACTGAAAGGAGGGCGGTCTGGAGTCCCCGATACCCCCTGTCCTCTCTGCGGGTGGGGGTGGCAGGGGCGGAGGAGGGGGCGAAGGCTGGGTGGTCGTTTCCACGGGAGGAACGACTGCCACTGGAGGTTCTGCTGCTGGAGTGTCTGAAGATACCAACTGAAAAAGAAAGGGGAAAAAAAAAAGAAATATTCAGAGAGACAAGCAGAAGAAAGTATCCAAGGTAAAGAGAAACAGGATGAAAAGTGGTGCAAAAAAAAGAAAGGAAATATGTGGAGTGGAGAGAAATTGGCATAAAACACATAGTACAAATTGAGAGAGGGCAGAGAGAAGAAAGGGTGAGAACATGAGAGGAATGAAAGGAGGAGTAGGAAGGAGGTAGAGAGTAAAGGGAGGGAAAATGGGTAAGATGTCAATTACTCTGACACAAACACTGTACTCTTTTCAGTTGGGCGTCTCAAGGGCATACTGAAATGTTATCCTACACTTAACCTGTCTCTCTTCATTTATACTACAAAAGTCCACACACACACACACACACACACACACACACACACACACACATACACATACACACACACACAGGATGAATGTCATTCAGCGTCCAATTACAGAAGGGAATAAAATGTAGTTAAGACCAGTTGACCAAAAAATATGCTAAAATATAAGAAGAATATTGCCTGTTATTACTGAAAATATTCAAAATCCATTAATTTCAACACCAAATCACTGCAGAGAACTTGCCTGCATAGACACCGTTTGAGGTTTGATGCATTTATGGAGTTCAGATAAACAAGCTTAGTATTCCCCATCAAAACAATTTAACCAAATGGAGTCCCTCAGCCTCGAAAGGCTGACGTTCAACCTCTTTACTGAGTCACTCCCTGCTTTTCCCTCCCCACTAATGGCTATGTGACTATGAAACACTCGTCTTCTGGGATCCCTCAATCCATCTTGGCGTGCAGATCACATATCAGTCCCTCTGGTCTCTGCTCTTTGTTCCCCTCTCTTTTAATGCCTTCCCTCGTTCTTATGCACTTAACAGATGCTCAGGCCTCAAACCTGCTTATCTGGGCCAAGTCCCCATGTTTTGTCTGTATTCAAATGTAACCTGCTGGGTGGGGTATAACAACTGGGCCTTCTGCTGGAGAAATGGAAAGTATGGAAACTGTACCTGGCACTGTTCTCTAACTGGTAACAAGCTGCGCTGCTTGTAACTCACAAGCTTTAATATCCATTAACACAATGAGAGAAACATTTGCCTTCCTCATGATTTGCTCATCAAACGGAAAAGCCGCTTTGACTCCATATGTTGCATCTTCAAATGATCATTGTAATGTGCTGATTTATTGCATTGTGTCATGTATCTGTTCTGATTTTTACATCAAGTATAAAAACTCAGTGGCCACTTTATTGGGAACAACTGTCCAACGTATTGCAACTCAATACAACAGCTCTGCCATAAATTCTACTTTTACCAAGTTTATAATGTCTAGTTTTTGTTTGCATTGCCACAATTGTGTGAATTGTGTGTAGCTGTGTGGTACTAGACAGTGTTTCAAATTTTCATCCTCCATATTTGCACACATGAGAATATTAGAAAAACTTCTGAATACTGTATAATGCAGTCATTCAATAATTCAATTAAAACCTCTGACAGTGTCAAAAATGACAGAACATTTTAGGCATAAAAGTAGATTTTATGGCGGCACTGTCTTATTTGTTCAATCGTACACGTGTACCTAATAAACTGGCCACTGACTGCGTTTTGTCTTTCCAGTTATTTTTACTTCATGTAGGAATTTTAATCCTAGAAATGTCACAGCTGGTTGCCTGCAAAGATGCAATAACCCAAAAGTGGTATGAAAAGCAACCTCCAAGGCTTTAAGAAATGTATAGACATAATGCTGGAAATAACTGTGTTGGGGAGAACCTTGTGAGAAAATGGATCAGCTTCATTGCAAACAACAAAGAATATAAATGTGTACCCCACTTGGCCCTCATGCTTTGTTGATTTTTTATTTTCCTATCTTTTGTGCATTATCTTTCAATACTATTAAAATAATAAAAAATAATAATCATACTTGATTTAAGAAAATTCTTTGTTGCAATGGAATCATAGAAAACTAAAAGGAAGGGCAACTGATTTAACTGAGGCTGAGATGAACATTTTTATAGTCTTGCTAAACTTACAGTGCACACTGTTGGCTACAGTGACTCAGACTGTGGCTAAAGCTCCAAGAACATTTTTCACATGGATCTCTTCTCTAGTCTCTTTCCTCCTGTTTAACCTGACGAAACAGTTAGTCTGTTTCAGGCTTCCCACTCTTTCCAAAAGATTATTCCCAAGATATTTTTTACCAAACGCTCTCCCAAACATAAGCCTAAACAACAAAAGAGCGTGATGTGGCAATATGATATACTATTACTCAAATTTAATGACTGAAATCTGAACTTTAATTACTCCATTTTAGTGCTGCTTGTTAGACAAGATCATTAGTCTGAGGGAGGTCTGGGGGAATGCACAGGAAAAGGAAAAGTGGTTTCTGAAAACAGCCGCTGGCTGATAATCTTGGCTGACTTTTCAGACAAAAGCCGAGTCTTGACATTTTCAGACAAACCTCATTGGGAAATTGTTGAAATTAGGTCACTTAAAAATTTCGAACAATGGTTACCAGTGACATCCGGATGGCTCCCACTTTGATTTTTATTAGAAATATACAGCAGGTTTATTATTTCTTACCCATGACACCACTCTGCCGTTGAAACATGGCAACTTGGCACTGTCATCGGAAATCTCTTCTTTCACCACCCTGAAGAAGAGAGACAGAGTGAGCATTAGGAGGTATAAATTGTTCAGCTCTCGTAACATTATGGCATGGTATGTGGTATGTGGATGGTACAGTAGAGTGGAGGAAAAGCTTTGCCAAGGCTTTAGTCTAGTCATAAAGAAAAAAGTGAAACAGGAGGCAATGGTTTACATTACTGACACATTACATAAAAATTATTAGGCTACAATAACAACATGGCTGAACTAAATCATATACCAGGATTATTTGCCTTATTCCTTTTACATGTGGTACCAGGTGTCTTATGTATCAGTTTGTGGCTGACACAACTGTCTACAATGGCTCTTGTAGAGTAGTACTTCAGCTTACATCACATATGACACAAAACAGCTGAAACTGTAATGTTAAAGTGACATTTAAAAAGTATGGTTGATTTTGAAGTGTTTGTACACTTGAGTCCTAGCGAGGGATGGACAATATGGACAAATTCCTCCATCACAATATATGAAGCTTTAGTTCACAATAAGAATATACAATCTTCTGGAAATAATTTGAGGAAAAGTTTAAAGATAAAATTGTTTGTTTTTGTTTATCTGGTAAATTAAATACTTGACAAATTAAAAGTACTTTAATTCAAATAAAAGTCAAACAATGCCATAAAGACATCCTGCTCACTGATTTGCAACTTTGCCAATGACCCAAAACACTGGGTAATATACAGTATGACAAAATCTCTGACACATAAATCCAACTGCTGGCTTTTGAACACTTGTCTCCATTTCCCCTTACATTATTTTCTTATCTTTTTGGTGTTAAATTGAGGAAATTCACCTTTTTGGCTCAAAGGGATTTTTACTCCTTATGACATTATCTTATACTAATGTCACTTTGCATTGTTATCAGTGGTTTAACTAACCAATAAAAGCAATCATTCCCTCACTGACCATCAATCTGTAACATCAAAACAAAATCCACTAGTAATCCACTAGTAATAATATCACTGGGATTCTGCTCAGATCTAATATTATTACCAAAATACAACCAAGTCTGAAGTCATGACTCAGCACAGCAGATATCAAAGAAAAGAACAAATGAAACTAATTTGCTTCCTCCAGCAAGTGAGACGCTGTGGAATTTCTTCTGTCACAGTGATGAGTTAAACACACACTCTTACTGCTTTTGTGCCTCCTTGCAAATTACACAACCTGGTCACTAAATATGCATGCAAACATAACAACAGTAACCTCTCAGAAACAGCTACCTCCAGAGCCCAGCCTCCACATGGCCAAAATCCTTAAAGGCAACACATCCGCCTGGCTCCCTCCTCAGTGATCTTCCTCCATGATTGTCAGAAAGGCAAACATTCAGCTTCAACTGTGTAATTTCCCCCCAGCAGACTGCCACTACATTATTACAGAAGTTGGCCGGGATAGGGGCCGGGTGCAAGTGCCACACAGAGGACACTTGACTGCTCCAAACCCCTTCAAAAGTTTTCTTTTTCCAGCTTCATCCGCCAGTGTGCCTCCTCTTATGTGTGTGAGACTTGGTCAGGCTCCACTGGGCTTTCGTAAGCAGCTGTTGAGAGCTGGTTTTGTGGGTGAGTGTTAGCATACGGCCAGATTGTTGTGGGCACTGGTGGGGAGCTGTTGCAGGAAGCCTTAGCTTTGGAGAGCCGTGTGTATGGCTACTGAATGTTAGTTAACAAATATTTCCTGCTGCGAGAAAGTGCATCTACGACGGCAGATGAGCTGATGCAACATTCTTCTCCAGAGAATGTAATTGTCTTCATTCCTCTACCCTCCAAACAAACAAGTGACCAGTCGAGCCATTTCACACACACTCTACAATACCTCAAATAATGCACAGACAGCCCTGAATATGTTGAGTCCAGTTGGATTTACTAAAACCTAAGTTTTTCACCCCCCACTTCCCTTTTTTCCCCCCAGTCCCTTGCTCCCATTAAATTCCTCACACCCAACACAGCATCTCTTTTCTAACAATGAATCTTACTGAAACAGCTCCCTGATCCCCTTTACAGCACACAAACACAGCAGAATATCCAATAACTCTGAGTGAACACCACCCCACTCTTTCTCCCCTTCCTTCTCCCTGTGGACAACCCCAGAAACCCAGCAAATGGCCTCCGTCCAGCCCCAGGTTCCCAGCACCGGCCCTGGCCTGCTCTGCTCCACGGATCTCCCCCACTGCCACACACACAGCTCTGGTCGACAGCTGGCCTCGTACCAGGGCAAATGAAAACACACACTATTACACACTCCTCTCCTGGGTCGGAGAGGGGGGAAAAAACGTCCCTGCTTTGATTGGACAGCTGACTCAGAGCTATGTTTGAAATTTTTCATCTGAACTCAGTTGGAGATATTCAAATGAGAGTATGTGACGCCAGGCTGCGCAATTTAAACTTAAGAACAGGGAATTTTTCTGCCATTTTCTCTTTGAAAGACTTTCCTTGCTCTGTGGACAAAGTCTGGCGTGGGCGGTTCTTTTGAGATGAGGACATTTTGCCTTTGGAAAATCACTAACATTGTGTGCTCACTTTCAAGCATACAGGGCCTAAACTTAATAATGTCCTGTCCAGTTACGAAGGGACAAGCTCCTAATTTGACGGCTAACTTGGAAATTACCCTGAGGATTGTGGTAAGGCCAGTCAAGTTAAAATAATTGAGATCATTAGAATGCCCATGACAATTGCAGATAATAGCTTCACACAGTCATTAGGTGAACATGTAATTGTCAGTTTATTAGGTACATCTAGCTAAAACTAATGCCGTCTAATACAACAGTCCTGCAGTAAATCATGATGGTAATAATGTTCAGTTCTTGTTGAAACACTTTTAAAGAGGTGTTGATTCAAGTTTATGGTTATTTTGGAGGTTTTGTGATGCTGTTGATTTGTACTGTTACTTAATCTGCCCTCATTCGTCTAAATGGGGTAGGCATTGGTTATTTATTGAAACAATATTGAACAGAAAATTATTCTGCAATTGTTTTTGATAAGTAATGGTTTGAAAATGATCTTAATATCTTTAAGTTTTCCATTGTTGATTGAACAAAACAAGTTATGTGAAAATGTCATTGTGGTCTCTGGGAATTTGAAATGGATATTTCCACAACAAACTGAAATTATAAGAAACCAAAAATTAATTGAGAAAATAATTTGTATTTAATAACAATAATAATAATAATAATATCATGAGGTACGGCCCTAAACCATATTTCTGTGCAATCACAGAAGACACACGCTGAATTTTATTTATTTACACAGGAACTTTGGCAAAAAGTTTACTAAAAACTGTGTGTAGGCTACAAAGGATTACTTTCACTATCTATTGTCTATTTTTGTAATGAAATTGTGAATAACTGAGTCTGTAATTTGCCAGAACTATGACAGATGCCAAACACAAGTTCGCAGAGCCAAAAGTGATGTTGCAACATTGCTCACTAGTCTGACCAAGCATCATTTATAATAATGCAGCTCACCTCATTTGGGAAACTGCATTTTTACTTGATAAATAACTAAAATTATCAAAATAGTTGTCGACACATTTAAATTAATCATTTCAATGACGCAAAGCCAGATGTTAGATATTTTTAAAGGCACTTACCACAGATTTGCTGAAACAAATCTCTAATAGCCAGTTATTGATGTTGCTGCTATTAATATTCAGCTCGCGCAAGGCCTAATGAAAAGGCATCTCATCCATTTCATCTTGTTGCTGGAGTTGATATTACAGCTCGCCTTGGCACATGCTGTGGTGGTGCCATCCAAAGAGGAAAAGAGGCAAATAGCCCAGCCTTAACGCTCATCCAAGACTACAATGCATTTAACAGAAGCCCTAAGGGTCTCACTGGGTGAATAAACCACAAACATGCATTCCTCTGCAGGAAAATGCACAGCAGCCACACAGAAAAAAAAGATTAATTGATAGAGGAGAGGAGACAGCTCTTTCTGGAGGAGTGGGCTGGGAGAAAGGGGAGAGGACGGGAGGAAGCCAGGGAATGAAAGGATGGCTGGCAGGCCAAAGTGTTAAAGAGGGGAGACAAAACCCTGGCTTCAGTCCTGAAAGAAAGAAAAGGCGAGGATTTCACAAGATGATGGACTGAAGGAGGGAGGGAGGGATGAGGATTATGGTAAAGAAAAGCAGCAGGGACAGGGAATGCCTCCCATTGTAATGATGATGTTTTCTGAGAAATGTCCCTGCCTACATACCCTTAGTATTTATAGAAGCACTTAGATATTCATCAGCAGTCATTATTACTCTGCAGTTTCAGATTAGGGATGTGTTGGTTGAATGGTGCCCTGACTGGCTGGCTGGCTTTATTCAAGTTCACCCTGTCTATACCTTTAATTATTCCCTGTGTTGGGAAATATGCGACAGCCGGTCACAAGATAAGATTGCATGACTTTTTGACACGCAAACAAGCATGCATTTCATTGCTTTTTTCAAATTAACAAGCATTGTAAGTGTTAACTTAAGATATGTTAACGCTCTTCCACTCAGAAAATAATGGCACATGAAAGGATTGTTTTCCACCTTTTGTCACATTTACCTTGCATGAGGTGTTTACTAAATGTGTATCAGCTTTTATCACCCTTCATTTAGCATGCAAAACACACAGCTCTTCTCTGCTAAAGGAAAAAAATCACTGCAGCTCACCCGAAGTCCTGGTCCATAGACTTGAAGAAGAATTTGTAGTTCGGCTTGTTCAAGACCTGTTTAAAATCCAGCAAAGTGATATTTTCGGCAGCAATGGGTATCTTCACCAAATACGGCGTCTCCTCTTCGTCGATATGATAAATTATTTTGGTTTCCGCCATCTCTGCGGTTGGTTTTTTTCCCCAAGCTGGAAGTTACCACAAGAAACACACACTAAGAGGCGAGGTAGCGTTAACTTTGTTGGGTAGTTAGCTAGCAGCGGAGTTAGCTAGGTGGCTAACGAGACGGCAGAGGTGAAACGATGATGGCCACTGAGATTTTCAGTCCGAGCCAGAGGACGTAAAGCGTTAAAACCCTGCTCAAAAACTCGTACTCCGACTTTGCACAACTAAAAACTCGCATTCCCCCTGTTACCGAGGGGCGAAAAAACGACGGACACGCTACATTCACACGACCTACCTACCAACAACTTTTCCCCCAACAAAAACATACAGGGGAGGGGGTCTAAAAACTTTTCTCCACTTTATGCGAGCCAACGCGGCGTGTGACGTAAACACGCACCCCCCCTTTCTTTTACGTTCTCTCCCAGCCATGCACCCCCGCCCCGAACCCCCAACGTTATTATTATTACTGAGAAGTATTGAAAAATACTTATATTTGTTTTTAACCAACAGAACACCCACAACTAATTCACATTCATACACCACGTTTTCTGCGCTGTTGTTTTATTGCTTCTTTTACTCCTTTTTAAACAGTTTTCACTGTTTTACTGTGAATGAATGTGAATGTGATTGTAGGTACAAGTATGAATCCCTTAAATACTACTAAACTACATGGATGGATCCAACCAGGCAAGGCGAGCAACTGTCCCTGGGTCCCCAGACCCTTCAAGACCCCAAAGGCATTGTGAGTTGGTTGGAGTTGCAGTTGGCTACTTTAATGAACTGAGCATTTATTTGGGGATATACACTACTAAATCATGATTTTAACTGACATAATAAAATTCAGGTAGTAATGACGGACCTGTCTTAACTGTCTTGGTTAATGTCAAATGTATGTATCAAAACTTACATCAGGCATATTCCCCAAAAAAAGAATGTGTTTCACCAAATTAAAATTAAAATTAAACAAGCACTCAAGAGGGACCGGTACAGTTGTGCTTATATAGGCCTACATTTGTTCAGTAATGTTAATATTTTCATTCTGAATCAAATTCACTATGGTCTCCCAAAAAGATCTAATGAATGATCTAATCTAATAAACTCATGAACCATCAGCATTATCAAATACAAAAAAGATCCACACAGCCCCATACAGAAAAATGCACACAAACATACACACAGCGGAAAACACATCCATCTTACAATCACTTTGCATTGTTACATTATTTAATGCCATCATTAAAGATAATAGTCCTTAAGTATTTAATCTGGCCTGTTGGGACCTCTTAGGCAGGTTCATCATCACAATATTTTTACTGTATTTTACACCACAAAGGGGCAGCACACAAACAAACACACACACACATACACACACACACACAGACGCTATTATTTACCTGCCCAGTTTTTCTGTAATTTTCTAAATACACACCTGACACAGTGCAAATGTGTTATGTACACCAGCTTTATTCAATTTTTTTCATTAGCAGTACAATCATCAGCTGACAGGGAAAAACTGCAAACATTGATGTGAATGATAAATGACAGCACCTCAGAGTATTCAAAAATAATAAATATTATGGATGTGAGCTCAGTTCATCCATTTCCATATAAACCACTAGAGGGAACTCTTCATCAATCTATTAATGAAAGAGAGGCAGCTATGCAGTACAGTAAGGAAGGATTGGTATACATGATGGTATTCTAGTTAAAAAAAAAATAGAATATGAGTAGGTCCCATAACTACAGGGTGAATAGCAACCACAGTGGTCAACAATATATTCATCAAAATATAATTGAAAAACAATTTGTGTTTTATGTGCTCTAAACCTTCATGTGTCAACTATGTTTTTTTTTTTACATGACTTCATATCAAGAACTACATCTGCTACAAAATGAGATAAAACCAGTTTCCTCTCAAAGTTGTCTGTTCAAGAAATGTGGCCCAAACACCACCCCGACCACGCAGGTGATCACAAACAGCACCCAGAAGATGACAGCCAGCAGCTGCACACAGAACAGCGTCTTCTTGCTCTGCTGTATGACTTCCTCTTCACCCACAAGGCCTGGCGCCGTGCCGTACGGTCTGTCCGGGTGCATCTGCTGCACCCTCAGGCTGACGGTGGGCAGGATGATGAAGCGGGTGTCCCTGTTGTCGCCCTCCAGGGAGAGTACTACCCTCTGGGTGACCGTGGCCAGGCGGGTCGCCATGGTCACAGGCAGGCGGAAGGCCACGGGGGGCAGCCTGGCCAGGATGCGGGAGTTGCAGGGTAAGGAGAGGGCATTTCCTGTTTCTAAGGGGGTGAGGTGGCGGCACAGGGGGCAGGGGATGGCTGGTGGGCTGTGGGGGTCGGGGGGCTCGCAGCGACAGAGTTGAATCTTCTGGAGGCACTCTGTGCAAAAAACGTGGAGGCACTCCAGCATCCGGGGGCATTTGTTGTACTGGTCGTACTCCTGGTAGCAGATGGGACACTCCACATCCACACCCACCCCTGGCTCCCCAGGGGTGGGTGCTGCAGCAGCTGGGTCCCCCTGCTGGGGAGCTGGTACAACATCCTCTGTCATGGGGGGAGGGAGACAGGCCTGGGAGCTCAGTGATGGCAAGATGCAAATTATAGATGAATCTTCAACAGAAGATGGTAAAAATCTGTAGAGAGAAAACAAGATCAACTTCGAGTCTGTGAGACGACGAGAACTCCAGAAGGTTATGTGGCATTTAAACATCAACATCTGCTCCCCCAGGGATGCTGCTTTGTTTCGTCTGAGTTTTATGAACAGATTCCACAGCCCATGAGTCATAGCATTCATCCATTTAACCACTCAGACATCCACCATCTAACCACCCCCCACCCTGAACTCACAATCACCCCTTCTCCATATTGTGTGTGCTGGCTTGCAAGACACTCAGAGCGTGTCCAGGAAGTTGGGAAATAAAGAACAAGCAAAGCAACAAAGGATCTGTGAAAGGAAGTAATAAGTCACAGCACGAATACTCTCTGCATATGTGTGTCAACATGACTCTGTTTTCATCATTTAAGCCTACATTTGTTTCACGTCAGTAATTCAACAATAAGGAACATTTGAAATGACACAACACCAACAGGGCCCACGTACGTTGAATGAACGTAAACTGCTGTGTCAGAGTCAAATAAATGTTTAGTTAAAGGAATAGTTCCACATTTTTTGAGACAATATCCATATTTTCTTCCTAGTTGTGTCTCTCATCACAACAAGTAGCCTATGCCAAATCAAACAACAAAATACAATAATCAGCCACAATGTCTACAAGCGTTTTCTGAATTGACGCCCGTAACGACAAAATAAATCTCTTTTATAATATGACAACACTATCATTAAGGTTTGGTCGGTTAGGTTTAGGCACAAAAACAATTTGGTTAAAGTGCATGGTTTAGGTTAAAATAAGTACTTGGTTAAGGTCAGAGGAGCTTTGTCACTATTTCCTCCTTTGCTCCTGGTTGACAACAGTCATAATTCCTAGGGGCACCAGGGGGCGCTGTCACCGTATTTAAACATGTTGCTTTAGGGCATTTGCTGGAACGACTGATTTCATCGTTTTTCTAAGCAGGACAGTTTTTCGAGGATTGATACCACTGTCATATCTGACCATTCAATACAAACCTAGCTTAGCCAATTAGCATGTCATAGCTTAGCTTAGCATTAAGAGTTGAAACAGCGGGAACCAGCTAGCGTGGCTCTCTCTCCGAAAGTAACAAATCCACCTACCACCACCTCAAAAGCTCACCAATTACCCGTTATATCTCAGTTGTTTGAAACATACAAAAACCAAAGTGTAAAACAACAAGTTGCAGTTTTTGGATGGGCGGCGTTTACCTAGCTGTTTCTCCCTCTCTTCAGTCTTAATGGTAAGTTTAGCCAAGTGGCTGCTGGCTCCAGCATCATACTGAGGGGGCAAATATGACAGTGGTATCAATCTTCTCATCTGACTCTTAGCAAGAAAGCACGAGTGTATTTGACAAGAGGAACATTTCTGTAAATGATTTAGTCCTCTGATCAGATCCAGTTATGCTATCGAACAAAGCATTTGATTTTGCTTTTATTTACTGATACTTATTTGTAGCTGTTTGTTGCTCACATGGGACGACTACAAGGCAACCCATGCTACCTCATGGGGGGATTGTTGCTTAGCAAATGGGGTCTCCTTTGAATTGATCCATGGCAACACATTGCCTGAAACCTTAGTAGTAAACTACATATTCATGCAATTGGAGCTGAATAGTGGTTCAGTGGTTCAAGTATGATTTACAGCAACAATAAGTGTTTTGTTTCACAAAAAAAAAAAAAAAAACATAATGACATCTAATGACAAACAAGCTGTGAAAGAGAAACGCTTGAGCCAGCACTGAATGGCTGCTCTGTATAAATAAATGGACCCTCTTGTATCTATGTCAGCCACCAGTTTCACTGTGATTGTACAGTGGGAAACTGGCAGTGCTCCATCATTACACATTAAGAAGCAGACAAGAGAGCCACTTACCCAGCACTCAAACCCCTTTGATCAGAGCACACTCTGATGCCCTCCTCCGACCCCGGTTCTTCCGCTCACACAATTCATACTTCTTCACGTGTTGGTACAGATCTCGTCCCGGCAGAGCGTCTTCCTCCCTCTTCTGTGTGCACATTAACCACTTAAATATCTGTCTTAATATTCTCTAGCTGCGTGTCTAAGCTTGGCTCACCGGTAACCTCCTGTTTTCGCTCCGTCTCACCTGATTTTACTCGTCCTCGTCTCTCTGTCGGGTCTCCCCTGAGGTTTCTCTGTGGTTTGCTGAGCAGTAATTAAACCCCTTGGTGATGTGAAGGTAACCAGGGCATACTAGACAGAAAAAGACAGATAGTCGTTTCTATTCCTGTAAAGCCTACTCTGCTTATATATTATGTTATAAGCACAGTCAGCATGTTGGAGCTTTAAAACAGCAAAATATGGACTAGGGTATAATTATTAATCGTTTGCTATATGTTTAAAATGAAGTTTTTTGTTAATAATATTAAAAAAAAAAGACATTTATTTTTTTACAGAACACAAATGATCACTAGTGCACATTTTTAATTCTAGTGGGTGTCAGCAAATAAGTTGCAGGGACAGAATAGTTCATGCATGTGTTTTCAGAACAGAGTGAATGTTCTGCTGCAATGGTAACAGGGGAATTATTGACAGATAAATAAAGTTACATGAGTCAGTGCTGCACTCTGAGTGATTTCTTTGTAACCAGCCGGGCCTGTGCAGACTTGCTAGATGCCTACTCAGCTCTTTTCAACATAATAATTTGTTACACTATCAGACTGACTGAAGGGAGATTCAAATTGATTAATATCTGGAGGAGGCAATGCGCTTACCTTGAGTTCCTCTGTGGTTTATGTTGTCATGCTCTGATGAATACAGATTTTTAAGTTTTCAGCAACAAGATATAAAAGAATAGACCCGAATTGATGAATTATGTGGCCCTGTACATGTTGAGACAGTTTTAAAATCAGGGGATCAACTTTTGTAGCAACATCATCCTGTAAATGTTGAGATATTTCATTGCGTAAATGAAACCTTTGACGTGCTGGTGGTGCCAGAAGAAAAGTACTATTCATCCTCTGGGGACCATGAATGTCTGTGAAACATTTCACAACAATCACATCAATAGCTGATGAGATCTTTCAGTCTGGGCTCATTCTTTAGTGCGACACCACTAGCTTGTACGGCTGAAAACCCAAAATATGAGCTAAAAGCTACGAAGACAAAAAGACAGGCAGCTTTTCTTAGCTCGTGGAAAGTTGGACATTTTGGACAGGTGTCACAGGAAAGCAAGTAATTGACAGATTAATTTGGACTTGACATCGTAGAAAAAGCACATGTAATAACATTAAAGTCTGTTCTATTTAAGTGTCTCAGTGAGCAATGTGCGAGCAAGTTTTATTTACAGCTGCAATTTTCCTGCTCTAACATGTCAGAATATCTTGTTTGAAAAAGCTTGCTGGCAAGACATAACACTCCCCCGAAAGGTTAGAAAAAATAATCTGCCAATACACTTGTTTTTAAACCTATTAAATTATTATGGATAACTAATCACTGATTTACTGGCAATGAAATGGCTTAGAGGCATTAAAGCTGGTGGAAAACACCGAAAGTGGTGTCATGAACTCTGGATTTTATCTCGTCCTACAGCACTAACTTTATGAGTGATGATGGCATGTTGTGCGCTGTTGTGACACACACAATGAATTCAGAGATCTGTTGTAGCATAAAAGCTGTCACTTCTGTTGCTAGAGAGTAAATCACACATACTGCATTTAATTCATCATATAGCGCCAAGATAAAACAACCTTTCACCACATGTACTGTGGCTGAATAAATGAATAAGTCGTCAATAACAGAACATCCTGCTGTAACTTAAAGAACAAGTGTATGGCATGTACTTTAAATCAAATCACATAAACCTGGTCTTGAGAAAGAGCTAAGTTAATAATATCTTCAAGGTTTCACTCGAGCTGTACACATTTCTCTTTGAATTTTCTCCTCACTTTTTGGGAAAAAAAAGTTTCCTTTTACTGTAATTCAGGTTAAAAAATTGTGTTTTGCATGACCAAGCATTACAGTAAACAGAAGGAGGCAAAAAGCGGGAAGGCAGCAGTTAACAAAAGGCTGTAAAATACACAAACACAGAAACTCACAAGCACAAAGCACAGACAGGGAGAGAGAGTTTTGATTGTTGGCCAAGTTTTCAGCGGAAATGACCATGAAAGGAATACAGGCTGGAACAACTGCTAGGAGGTGGGTTGTTTGGGGATTACCATGGGGGAGGGACATCACAGCGTCACCCACACACACACACTGGACATGTCACCTCTGAGATAAGGACAAATCAGATATATTAAGGGGAATATTGAGAAGGAACAACCTGAAACACTTATTACCTTAACTTTACATAAAACTTTTAACTCAATTCTCAATCCTACACTTACTGATTAACCAATAGAATAAGTTTAATGTCTTCAATCAGCTTCCACCTGACTGTGGGTTTGTGTGCGTGTGATGATTCAGAAATGAAAACCAACACCACGTTTAAAGTTATGTGGAAGTGTTTGTCTGTTTATGTGTGTGTGTGTGTGTGTGTGTGTGTGTGTGTGTGTGTCCCTTTGGTTTCATGGCAGTAGCTACGTGTATTTTGAGCGTGGTGAGTCATAGGTCGTGTTTATTTGGCTCAAATCTGACGTTTCAAACTTGAGAGTCCCTCCTCCTCCTACGCACTTCCTCACACCCAGTGATATAAGTCAGGGCAGCCCTGAGGTCAATCAGTGAGTTAAGGCTCACAGCACATCACAAAATAATAAAGTAGTATGTATTCAGAGCTTGAGTGCGGAATTTGTTACCGGACCTACAATGCGGGTCGTCGGTGTCCCCGGGAGCTCCACTGTAAGCACAGCTTCTGTGAGAGCTGCCTCCTGGCTCTGTCCCGAACCCCGGGAGTCGCCGAGGCACATCCAGGAGATGACCGGTTCATCGTCTGCCCGCTGTGCCGACAAACCACATCCATCTCCAGTGAGGGGGAGATGAGGACCGAGCTCAGGGTGGATGAGTCCGTCCTGGAGTGGCTGCTGGCCGCGGGGGTCCTCGACCTAGAGGAGGAAGAGGATGTCCACCCGGGGGTAGAACTGGACAGCCAAGTTCAAGACGGCTGCTATGACGAGTTAGCGTCGCTTCCCGAGATTCCTGCCGAAGAGAGCGACTCCGCCGCGGGCTCCGGAGGTGGGAGGGTCCGGCGGTCTTGGAAGAAAGTTTGGAGGAAGATTAGCGGGAAAAGCTCACGGCAGAGTCGTCGAGAAAGTAAGTAGATACCGGGTGATTGTTCATGAGAAATGTTAATAACTAGTTTTACAAGTTGTCATGTTGTTGGCTAAACAAACAACGAGGGCGTGCGTGGAGCACAACACAAAGGTGTTTTTAAAGGGAGCCACTTGACAACGGGGTTTGGTAATGGTGACCATAGTAACAGCAGGTAGTAAATACAGACTTTTATTTTTATTTAGCGCCTTAAAGTTGACAGAGCAGGCTAGAAATAACGTGATATAGTTCAAAGTTTAGGACTTCAGGCTTAGTTCATGTGTAAACTGAACCACATTTCACCAAATCATCCATGTTGTTGATTTCTTAAAGAGTTTAGAGCAGAGTACAAAACTCAACAGAAAGTTTTATTGAAAAAGAAATAGTGATTTCAATTTTTTTTTTCTAATGTGTCCTCTTTTCCTTCAGGAAACTGGATCACCAGTGATGACCTGAGGAACTTCGCCATGATGTCCTGCTACATGTTTTGAGCTGTCTACAGCCTCAGATACCCTGGGCAATGTGACAATAGTTCTTCACAAGGACTACTACTGCTGCTGCTGCTGCTGCTGCTGCTGCTGCTGCTGCTGATGATGATGTAACCTTGCTGAGAAGACACAATGACAATGAGCAAGATGATTTGCTGTCTTTCCAGCTTTCTGACCACTTGTTTAACTGAGGATCACTGTGTAGCTGTTTTGCTCAAATGAGGGAAAAAAAAGGAAAGTCTGTGAGTTGTCAGAGGGGCCCATTTCAGGGCTACATTAATGCACAAATGTATTTGATATTTATTCTTTTAATGAATGTATTTATTTTTTGACATATTTGTTACATATTTAAGGAAAAATAAATGAGTTCTGGTTTCAATTGACTTGTGTCTGCATGCTGAGTTTTGGATGGGAATTTGGGTGAGTCAGTGTGTGTATCGTTAAAATGAAAATACGCTAGTCCAGGTTTGGCCTTTGTTCGTGCAAGTACAATGAAAGTAACACATTACACAACTCAGTCCAACCTAAACAACAGCAGACTTTAGAAAATAAAATTCAAGTTAGAGGCAAAAATGATCCTCATGTTCAAAGAGAAGTAAGGATGAATACATACAACGGAGGAAAAGATATCAAATATTTATAGAAACTATGAAGTGTACTGCATGAAATGGGCTAAAATAGGGAAACTACCCTTCACAGACTGCTCCAGGAAGTGGGTTACCTGAAACCAGGTGAACAGCATTGCCTCCAATCAGACAGAACCAGCAACAGAGCAGCAAAACTCCTCAGTGCCTCATTTGTTTGACAAGTAAAACACACAGATTGACAACACTAGTTCATCTTATTTTCTGATCTTCTTTTGACTCTCATCCAAACCTGGGAAGAAGCTGTCCACCATGTCAGACAATATCGCTCTTTACTCAAGGTAAACTGCAGAACTTTTGCACAAACAAGAAACAGGATTTTCATAAATTACAACAATACTCCTTTGAGTGCTTTTTTTTTCTTTTCTCTGCAGACTTGTGTTTGTCTCCCTGCCCGTCTGTGTAGCTGTCATGTTGTTTATCATGTGTTCAGATGCTGCAAGAGGTAAGTGTAAACAGGCCAGTATGTGCAAGGCCGACACTGCAGATTATGCCGTTTCAGTGGGCTAATGTTCATCTTAATGACTCTGAACAGTGTCATGAGGCACATGTTGGCTGACTGGGGTTAGATGGAGACTGATATGTTTGTTTCTATAAAACCGCAGTTGATTTTTTTTTTTTTTTAATGATGGCAGAATGAGGGATTTTCTCTGGCATGCCTTGAACATATACTGCCTGAGTTTATACTTCCCCACCAGCAATGACACAAAAATGCAGAGATACATTTGTTAGTTAAGGGGAAATCATATGAACTTGCGTAAACAAATTTGTAAATCCAACCGATTTTGTGGTAGGGTAATTTAAAGTTAAATAAAACTAAAGAAAACAAGGGTGTAATATCAAAGGAATGTGCTAAATAAAAGAACATTTCATAAAGTAACAACTGCAAAGATTTAAACTTGAACTTTAACCTGATGCTAGATTTTTGTTTTGGTGTCTTCATAGTAGCCAACACTGTCTATTGATTTATTTACCAGCATTATAAGGAAGAAAACATTATTTCTTATTTTCCCATTCTTTTCCACCTGTAGCCAGTCCCATCGCAACCCAAGTGGATACTGGAGTGAAGCCCAATATCCTGAGATCAGTGTTTAGTCCATACAGCCAACATCACTCCCTCTCTGCTGGTATCCTGCCAACTGAAACTGGACTCCAACCCGCAACTAATGAGATGACAGGGAATTCTAGAAAAGCACTGTCAATCATTGACCATCAGTCAAGCCCTGTATGGTTTACAGGAGGTGGCTTTAGTTACAATCAAAACACCCCAGATAACAGGCAGGCCCGAGCGGGAATGCAGAGAGGTCGCGGCGCAGGAGGGGTGAGGCCAGCGAGCAGCACTTTTACCAGTCACTCTCAGCGAGGGGGACAGAGCTTTGAGAGGCCACAATCCAGATTAAATTCATACCCACTGATCATTAGAAAATCGTCTCAAAAAGAAGCTGGCAGCCCCTTTCATCAGAGCTCTACTTCTTCACAAGTCTGGTACCACAAAGATGCTCAGAAATCCCACAGCCAAGGACAAGCTCCTAGCAATGTCTCTCCAAAGTTGGCTACAGATAAAACAGCGTGGCCATTAAAGGCTGGTGAATACTGGAGTACACTGCCAACTCTAAGAGGGCATTACACTGGCTATAAAGAGACAAATGAGCTCTCTGCGGTTAGAGCGCACAGTCCATCTGGTGGGATTCAATCAAGCAAATTTCTCGGCTTCGCAAGTCAAACTGTCTCTCATGCGCCATCAATCAGCAGCGGCTTGGACGCCTCTGTTATTAAACGCAACCCCAGCCCAGAAAAACTGACATCATCCATCACAGATTTCTCCCAGGGGCTGAGCTCAGTGACCAGCAGTGAGACACTCAGACACAAAAAGGTCCAGTCTTACCTCTTCAAGGACTCCCAGACCTCATTTAACACAGGTAATACAGTCACAGGTGGGCAACAAGCTTCAAGTGGCCTGAGGGGTTTTACCACAATGCCACAAAAGCAAAGTCCCTCTGATGCACAAGTTTACAGCAGATTTGCTTCAAATTTTCAACAATTAGACAGAAAAGTTCCAACCAAGGAAGATGATGCCAATCCACTGTATCTTAACAGCAGTGTGGCCCGGTATGGTGGTCAGACAGACAACTCTATCAGATATCAACTCATCTCGAGCATGTATCCTCCCGCTCAACTCTCTTTGCATCCTGCTTCAGGGAAAGGCAAGACTATAAAAAGTTTTGTCCCCATTTCTCATGCAGCTCCCCAGGATAACTACGCCGCTAGCAGTGAGAAATCTGTTGCAGGAAGCCCAGTTATTACAACTGCAGGAGGGTCAGTGAATGGCTACAAACCGGCACAATCCTCGAAAAGCATCTACGGTATCAGAGGGTTTGAAAATCCCCCGTGGTCAGCTGCGAAGGTGCAATCTAATCCCCCCTCCAGTGAAAGGACCAACTCTAGACGACACAGCTTCGACAAAGGAAAGGACTATAAGTTTAAAATTGCAAATATCCATCCCTCTTTGTTGCCAAAGTATAGCTTTGGCCAAAGAAGAGCATCTATTCTGATTCATACACCAGCAAAGCATGAGAGGACACCCACAGATTATTCACCACCTTCTTTAGATCTAATCCAAACCACAACTGTTTCTACTTCAAGGGCGTTCACATCCGGTTTTAAGGCCGTCCAGCCTCCGCTGCCTGAAAGTGATGCCGGTATGGACAACAATCGAGATCACAGACAAGTCAGACTCTACAAAAGAATGTATGGTCTCAGAGGTTTTGGCCCTCGACCACTTGAGGGAGCCAAAGCTTTAGTCAGAAAACCAGACAAGTCTGCCTCACTCCAGCAAAGTTTTGAACCTGGAAGCTCGCAGATCTGGCAACCCAAAAGCAGCAGATGGTACAATCAAACAGGTGAAACAGAAGCAGAAAGCAGCAATATATCCATTCAGAGGCAAAATGAGCTGAATGAGCAAAGCAATGAAGACTTTAAACCACTTCTAAAGACTGCAGGGAGCACTGAACCAGTCGAGCACAGCAGATTTACACCAGACAAATACAAAAAGAACCAGAAAATCTACACTTTCCTGGGATTTCAGTCTGTTCAAAACAGAGTTGGAAATGCGCCTAAGGAAACACACTGGAAATACACTGAGCAAAATCCAACTGCAGCATCGCCAACCCACAGAGTCTCCTCAGCTCATTTCAGATCAGCAGGAGGCCTCAGAGTTGAATCCAGCCAAGCATCTGCGCCAAGAACGCCCAACAAATCCAAACCCGTTGCAATGAAGGCGAGTCTGCTCAACAGTTCCACCAGCAGCACGGTGAGAGGGAAACGTGTGAAAGGAAAACACATTAACAGCAAAAAGCTCAACGAGTCTGCTTCTCTGACCAATGATACTCTAAATGTGGCCATTGTCAGGCTGCCCACGCGCCCTGCCAGGGTCAAAGCTGTCACATATGCTGATATTCTTGGAAGCGCTTCATTCAGCAGTGTCAGAGCTACACCCCAGACACCGACCACACCGGCTGATGAGGTTTATTTTCCAAATACTACAGCCGTGACCAAGCAGGAAGAAGAGGTGGGTTATTGGACCTTAAACCCGGATGGTGGAGTGCAGAGCAGGGAAAACACGAGCAGAAGTCCTGAAGCAAATGCCAAAGATGAGGTAGAGGATTTCAGCAGTGCTGAGGAAAATAAGTTGGGTTTGAAAAGCAGAGAATATGAAGGTGGAATGAAAACATTTGATGCTTTCTTGGATAATGAAGAAAGTGGAAGTGGGGTTTTTAATCTGTCTGATGTTTTGTCAACTGATACCACAGAGAGTCAGGGACTCGGTGAAGATTTGTTAGAGCTAGATTACTTACGAATATCAACCGGGAACATCTCCTTCAAGTCAATGAAACTGTCTTATACTGAGAAATGATGATGAATTATGTGTGACAGGAACAATCCCAATAAAAGCACTTGTGATTCTGTTCTTGGGGAAAATTATCTTTAGTCTGAGCTACTATGTTTTGTGACAAAGTTCAAATTAGTGTCATTATAATCTACATTATACATTATATTAGTAGATCATTTCGAATAGTTCAACATTTTGGACTGGTTCACTGGCAACTGTCAACTATATTTATTCATCACTATTTTCTAATATTTATACAAGGTAGGATTTACTGTCATTCTCTCCTTAAACGATACACAAGAGAACAACATTGTGTTTCTTTACAATAAGAACAAACACGATTTTAAAAAAAAAGACATAAAACAAGGTAACAACAGAACATAGTTTGATGATGTGCCTTGTTTTATTAAAAAAGTTGATGTAAAGTTTACCTAATGGGTGAAATGTACCTACAAAAACTACTGCTGCACAGCACCATTAACAGCATGACACAGCCTGAGTCACAACGTCC